TATGACGATACAACTCTTTGAGGATCGACACATACTTCTCAGGTACTCCAATCCTCAATAAACAGTTCCATAGTGCGGTCCTATCGACAGAGTAGAAGGCCCCGCGGATATCTAAGAATACAAGGACCATTGGTCTTTGATAGGCATGAAGATGCTCTAGCAGGTGTCGGAGAGTGAAGATTTGATCGATGCAACAGGATTTTCGAATATGTGATTCACTACGCAAAGTCTGGTTGCGACTGGTTAAGGTTCGAAGTCCGAAGCTCACAAACAGTACCCTACTTTCAACCTTGTATGCCTGCCTCCAGGCAGATCCTTCCTGAGGATTACTTCGACATGTATATATTCAATAAAAGAAAGCAAAAAGATCATGGTTATTATTTAAAAAATCCTAAGTAGCAAGGAGCATTAATGAATGACAAATAGATCGATGAGTCGCTACGAGTAGGTAGGTAGGAATGGATGAAAACGGTCCCACGCATCACATTGCACCTGGATAGACACATTGGACAAAGCGGTCCTGGTAATCCTGGTAATCTTACACGACAAATGCGATTGTTTGATTCATCATACAAAAAGTTTTATTGATACTACCAAGAAACCATATTAATCACCCGGAAGTAGTCTTACCTCCAGTCCAGGAAATAGATTCGGATAGTCTTTCGGATTGGCCAAAGCGTGCGCAATCTTTGCATTGGATTTCGTTGATTGACCAAGCCAGGTACGCCATAGTTCTACAATCTCCGGAACTTTACTAGGCAGGTAAGCGCGAGCAAAGAACGCCGCTTCGGGCAGTCGATCCGCTTTGATCAGGAGCTATGTGGGTGGAGCATACAACGAGATTCGGATGAAGATGGACAACGATAGTAACAAGGGAAATATAATGACCGGCTAACACGATTCGGAGAAAAAAGCCGTCACCTTGCGCATCAGTGCCCGGAATAAAACTTACTTCATGCATATGCTCTGCTCCGAATCAGCATCTTGACTCCCGTTCATTTTATTCCTGGTACCATCATAGACGTCTCATTATATCCTCAAACTTGCATCACGTCTCTCTAGGATAAATTCTTACTGCGCACAGCGATTCCTCGCCTTTTCCCAAACTGTCACCATTCACAAGGCCCAAGTATAGCCCTACTATATATACCGGTACATCGGTAGTTCTGAGAGCCACCACTATCGCTCTTCCAGTAGAAATTCTCAAAAGGTCCTAGTCGAATTCTTAGTTTTACTACTATGCGTATCCCAACGATGGCAGTTAAAAGATAGTTGCAAGCAGTGCAAATCTTTAGTGGTAGTACCAGCCAAATGTGGACTGAAAGGAGAAACGTGCGGTGTTGATCACAATCTGGTCATTTGTCCGGTATCGGGGTTACGAGGTCGCCGATACAGGTTGCACAAACCAAGTTGCCGTTCCCGGTTTGTCAGCCTGACGACTACGTATGCATAACCCGCGAGAATTCTCAGGGGAAGATTAGGCTTCCCCTGACAGACACCTGTGTTGAAAATCGACTCTTCTTATTATTTAAATGATGCAAATCTACAGCAGAGTCAGTGCAGTAAGTAGTAAGTGTGGTCTCACAAATATGCGTTACTAGCTTTGATAATTCAACCGCAAGCAAAGACGCACTCAGCTTCAAACCAAGTATGCTTGCGGTTCGCAAAGGAGATTTTGCAACTACCAATACACAAAGAGACGAATTATAATTTTGCACAAAACGTAAGTGAGATGCTGCTCCGTACACGGATTCAGACGCATCGCAACCGGTATTCAACTGGACTCTGCCGCACCCCGCTTCTACTATGGCGCGTGCATATTACCTAGGTATTTGAGGGATACGCGTTGAAGATAGTTCCGAATAAGTGCCCGCAACATTATTTGACCATGCTATTTGTGGATAATCATCATGCAGAAAAATTAGTTTATCTTATTTGGAACTGTGCATTCGTTGTTTGTGACATTGCGACTCCTTCCTTGTTCTTCTATGTTGACTTTCCAACTCATTTTTCGTTTCACCACACTCGATGGATTATGAAAAGATGCCGGACAACATCGATGATGAGGATGCTGCTGTTTCACTCCCGTCCCGTAAGTCCTCTAGAGACTGCCGAAGCCATTAAATGAGCTGTCGATGACAAAACATGTGCAGCGGTAAAAAGGATGGTCTAATTTGCAAAGGTACTGGATAACGTTTTGGTGGATGATCAGATTAGAATAAGACTTCCTGTAACGGAAGGTTACGTCACAGCCGTTGAAGTGTCATTGGGATCGCGAACCAAGGAAAGATTTTAATTTCAAATCTCTTTTTCTTCCCAGGAGGCACCATCTCTTTTTGTGTATTCTCACTCAAATACAACATTCTTTCTCTTAAGGAGCGGAACGATCAAACGGATCCCTACTTTTTATATTCTACTGCGGTTGGCACCTTGGAAAGGATAAGCCGGCTTCAGACATGATCATGGAGTCCCTTGGGAGTTTGGTACAAGAAACGTCCCACGGCAGCCCTTTGATTGGCTTCTTCTTGAAAACTTCCTATCTTCCACTCTCTTCAACCTAAGAGACTTTACTTGAGCTTTGGGTATTTACTCCGTTTGCTGTAGATCACGGTACTGTTTTAATTCAAGAACTTTAATTAAAAAGTCCTTTGTATTTTCAATCATGGAAACAACGTGCTGTATTTTAGGTTATTGTCATCTCATCTCCGTTGATCAGGTTCTATAAATTATGCGGTTTACCCCATCAGTTTTCATCACGCTCGTCACGTAACTGAAAAGCAATGCATAATCCCCTGGCTGATGGGAGAAGAATGCTTTGGACGATTACGGTGCTGGATTATAAGAGAGTATTCCTGAGTGCAAGTTCAACTGACAACAGTGCCACTTTACTGACCGAATTTCTTCGAGGTTCTCCCTGTTTAATTCGCATGAGGCCACGGTAGCCGAAGGGCTTGAACTCAAAGTTTTTGATCACATCAGAACGGGAACTAAGAATAGGACAGAGATTATCTCTGTAATGGGATGCTTTGAACCGATCAGATGACCCGATAAAAAATTTCAAAAACATTCGCCATGAGGTGTGTAAGTTGCACGTTGTAAGGTACAAATCAACATGGAGCGATAGATGCACACCTCTAGACATCCTTCCAAATCAGCCAGAAGGAATCGCGCCAAGAAAGCCACGTTGTCTTTTGATTCCACAGATGCTTGTTCACCGATCCACTGTAACAGTTGACTATTTCCAGAACTGGATGCCAGCAAAAGCAGGTTGGAGTAGTCCTTGGTCCGAGACAGACATTCTTCGACTAGAGTGAAGTTACTGTTCCGACAGGCTGCCTCGGCGAGCTGCAAACGTGAAGAGGAAAATCACAATTAAGTGAACTTCACTGAATGAAAAACGCTGATTAAATGTGACTTTGTGGGTGTGTGAACAGATCATGGATGAACGGATGACTGCTCACGCGCGTACGGGAATGAAACTGGCCCGGATTACGTTGCGGTGCATTTTTGTTTTCAGCAGCCTTGTAAGTTGGTGTGCTTAAATTACAGTAGTACTAGTCGTACAAAGATACATGTAAATTCAAACGTATGAAGTGTCAAGTAGAGAGCGAGGGTGCCATATTCGCTAAGAGATGGGCATGTTGCGCAAAATGACCACTCATTTTGTCATGCCTGAATGCTTTTCTATCTGAGTTGCAAGCGCCGAAAAACGGTAAGGAACTCAAACCAGTTCTATAAAGCACATGGGCAATTGTCTCGCACTGTTCCAGCACTAACCTGTTTCCATTTACTCTCATTGGCCTCGGGATCGCCTTCCGATGCCAGCTGGCGACATAATTCATAATTACCCAATTGCAAAGCCAACTCGAATTTGTGATCCGGATCTGTTGTGACGCGCATTGCCTGTGTGCGGAAGCCTTGCTTTTCCAGGAATTGGGCGATTTTCGTTCGCTGCTCCTTTGGAATGCTGGGGAAAATAGCATCGGCCGCGGCGAAATCTCCACGCATCACGGCCGTCTCGTATTCGAGCACATTCAGCAAGAGTGAATAGCTGACAATCTGGAAGATGAGTGCAATAGATAGTAGAGGACATAACGGGAGGGAAAAGGAAGAACTCTGCTTTGCATTTTACTTTATGTGATCAATCAAACAAAGGACGAGTCTCAAATTTACAGACAAAGGAGATAAACACACGTTGTGGGGTTAAAATAGTACCGAACATCTAAGCAGTGCCACAAAAGCAGGATAATAGGAGGGGGGTGAGAATGCTATATCTCTGAAAATCAAGCGCGAACTATTTGTGGAAGTTCGATTTCATCACGAGTCTTTCAATGCAATTAAAATACACAACTTAACAGATATCACGCATGAATGGAATCATTACGCAAACTTCGCACGTTACTGATGTGAGACTTCGCGAGTACTACTCTTAAATAAACGTTGGATTATTTATCCAATAATTCAATTGATATTACAACTAATTTTGGAGATTCATAATAAACCGAGAATTCTGGTTCGTTTTTCTTTGCTCTACCTTTTGCACTCGTATTGACTGCATGAACTATCCTTCCATCACAGTGTGGCTTTTTCCCACGTCCACCTTCATTCAACCCGCAAGACTATTGAAAAGGACAAAGTTTACTGTAGCAATCACACTTCAACTGAACCAAACATGGGCGGTCTGAGAAGTTAGGTCAAGAGGCGCTTTAAGCCCCAAAGGGTCGTTTTTCAGCAATTTACAAATCTATACAGTGGATATCTGAATAATTGTAATCAAAAAACAGCAGAAAATAAACTAGGTATCGCAGAGAGTCGTTTCCTGAGGTGGGTGATCGTGTATAAGACCGTTCGACACAGGGGGTTGTGAAGCATAACGTCTACTAGCGTGCTCGAAATACAACAGCCGTGGGAATGAAAAATAATGATTATTGCTTGACTAGCCATAGGAAAAACTAGAACATAGTTTTCGATCAAGCTTACAAGCATGTGTAATCAGAGTGCGTGCACCAGGACAAGAACATACCTGTAAGTCACGATCACCGAGAAAAACGCGGTTCTCCTTCGCCAAGTAACCCAACAGATACATCGGTCGGTCCAAATGAGCCAAGGTAACCAATTCTCCACCGACATAGTAGCACAATCGATTNTGGCGGTGGTAGTGAACAGAAACGCATCACCGAACCACATTCCGTTCCGGACGGCCACGTTTACCTCACCATTTTTTACAACCTACAAAGTAGTTGTGAATACAAACAAAGACTGCAACATTTGGAAGGAAAATTAAATATGAAAATTTTAAAGAATCACAATGAAATGGTTCGGTTACCTAACTTATAGATTAGCAAAAATGCAGTTCGTTGACCCTGGGCAGATCATTCGAACATTGGATTTGACTTGAGGTTTCAGTTGCTGAAGTCACCATGTTGGGAAATGAAAAGACAGTAGTCTGGACATGAAGGTCCCATGACGGGGTTATATCAGTTTGTGGCACTATATATATATATAACCAGCTTGAGGACAAACATGGTGCCAGCACCACAACAATATTAACCATAACAATAACGGGAAGAGGGTGGCTGAAAGCCTGTATAAAGCTCGCTAAAGCTTGAGTACAACACAACACAATACAATACAGAGTATCGGGAAAAAGATGTAACTGTTAAAATGGAAGATTACGAATAAATGGAATAACAATTTTTTGTGTACACGTACACGTTTGGATATTTTTTGAGTTGTCGGTGGCACAAACCGAGATTTGAGTACGATAAGGACAGTAGGCATTACGTTAAGCAGCACTAGGATCAGAATTATGGATGGTATACTGTTCACGCAATCGAACCAAATTGCAAAGTTCAATACGCACAATCATTAGCGTCCTTCAGGACCCATGGGGTCAATGATGGCATTACTCAGAGTTTGGTACGATTGGCAATGGGGAAAGAAATACGTAAAGATCGTGTGTTCGAATCCTATTACCACTGACTAACTTTCTCGGTTTTTGTGTTCCGTGAAACTCCTTTGATTAGTCACTTCGCACTTACGGAAACTTGAGCACAAAGGCATCCATACAATAGTATGAAGTAGAGTAAAATCAAAGTTATTGTACGTAGTGTGTTGTGATTGTCCTGGCCTAACTAACCAGTCGGGATCACTTGGATTTATCGAAAAATGCGGTTGATCGATTGCAGAAAACCGCCAACCACAGCAGACGCCAGCGGTTATATCTCACAAAGTACCTCAAAATGATCGGTGTGGCAGTGCAACAACTTTGTCAGGCTGGCGAACGCTGGTGTGGCTTTGGGATGCAAAACGCCATTTTGTCTCCAATATCCCATCCGTGTTTTTCCGTATTATTGAGGCATAAAAAGTTCTCAATCTACATTGTATGCATGTGATTCCAACAACCTTGGAGAACTATTTTTCATTTATGATTCCTCTATCGTCAAGCAGGCTTCAACACTTGGCAATAAACGTGTACTTTTATCGAGCCAGGTGAACACATCAGTATATCGTAAGCCTGTTGTCCATATGCTTAGAAAGAACTCTATTACAACTGAACTAAGGCCAGAAGGGTTTTGAGGACAAAATACGGATTAAGAACGAACGATGATATGCGTTTATCACAAAAACGTTTTTTGTTCTGAGGTCTTTGGCAACGGCTATCTTCAGAATGGAGATACTCATTAATCACCCAATTCCTGAAAAGACGAATTTTGCATGACAATTCTCACAATAGGGTCAAATGCTCATGAAATATCCAGAAACACTAACATCGTAAACCTTCAAAAGGAAGGGATAACGGGTAAAACACCAAGGAGGGAATCACTGAATAACAAAACTATGTGAGTAAAAGTTAAGAACAAGAAAGGATGGACATCTCCCAAAAAAGAATACAAGTGGGAATTCTTTGCATCCGGTCCAGTAAGATAAAAAGCTTGTTTTCGTAAATTGGTCACCATACATGTGCAGACTTAGGTGTGTTTATGTAGGTGGCAAATGTGAATGGGATGGGGTGGTCAAGCGGTTCAAATCACCATCGTGCTTCGGACCCCATGTTCCGAAATGTGAACTCCGCCACCTATAGTAGTAGGCAACTTCGCCTGATTTGGTGGGGCCTTATGTGGTTCGCCAATCAGAGTCCCAGGGCTTAGGTTGCCGTTCTCCACGAGTGGACAGTGTAGGTCCTGGTGACAATGGAATTCATCCTGTCTACCGTTTACAAAGCAAAAAACAACAAATGCAAATCAAAAAGTTCAAATACGGAGTTTCGGGGGACATAAGTACAAAAGGAAGGAGCACTTGGCTTAAGTCGAAATCTGTTTTTGCTCTTTAGGGTTTGACTAAAAAAATGATGATGTTTATTTTGGTATACAATCACGAAGGTGCACGAGGTAATTCCCAGCTCTGATACCATGATTAACTTTTGTGACTGTTCCGATTTCGGCAACTGGAAGGAAGGCGTTGGTATGAAGCTTGAATATCATTACTGTAAATTTGTCTTCCTTGAGTGACAGAGTATTACAATCGGAGCTCGTACGGCTTTTTATAAGCATATTCTGGTTGGTTTTTCTTTCTTTGTTCATCTATAAAATGCCGTGCACACCACAAAAAATGATAATAAAAGAAATCTAAATGAAGTGAACCAAATCATCGTATGTTGTCAGTTACATTCACACAGAACGGAAATGTATCGTGCGTGCCAACCTGAAATGCTTGTTCATAGCCGTCCGCTTCCTCCGGTGAACCGGGAATCGGGTCCGTGTCTGGCACCTGATCAGCTGTGTAGCGCAGCACATAGACCATCTCGGCAGTACACAGGGCAACCAACTGTCCAGATTCGTTCCAACACACTGCACGCGGACTGATATCGATACGCCGAACCAGTCGACCGGTTGCCCAATCATACAAAGTCAATCCGGTCAGAGAGCGAACACCGAGAAGATGTCCACCGAATATCTGTTCTGCACCGTAGTCCAATTTGAACGTGCGTACTTCCTTGAACTGTTTGTAAACCTAAACAAAAGGGGTTAATAGTGAACCGGTCGAATAAAAATCAACAGTAAATCAATTCAGGAAGGATGAATGAGTTTATTTGGACCAATGAGTAATGTAAATGATCGGGAAAGTACAGTTCAGTTTTTCCAAATGCGTGCCTAAGATTTTAGCGCACGACATACTTCACGGTCGCCCGGTTTTCCTTTGGGAACCTCAACAGGGGCCTTTGACTCAAACGACTGACCCGCAAAGCAGCGAGAAAGTGTATATGTAGTAACGAAAAACAGCTAACTGATCGAGTGGTTGACCACTAATAGTGAAATTTAAGACAAAACCTAATCCCATAATGAAACAACCGCCTATCTTTAAACTGCACTGTCGCAAAGCTCAATGCCGAACATGTTCTATTGGGGCTGTGTGGCAATTCACTCCAAGTCCCGGCGCTTAGGCTGTCAGTCATCCTGAGTCAACATCTGATCCTCGGGAGTAAGGGATGCATGCTTCCCCTGTAAAAGTGTATGTATTAAAAAGGATTTAATCAAAAATCATATTCTACTATGTATTTGACTGCAAAACGCACTATTTGCTCACAACGATAAACCCATAAACATAACGTGAAATAACCAAAGCTCCATTGACAACCCTTGTCAACAGTCCATGAGGTTAAATAAAGAATCAATTCTGACAATTCGTGCTCGAGGTTGATTTGCCTTGAAATTTTCATCTATCCACAAAGCATAAAGAAGTCACATAATTGAAAATAAACAACTACGATTGAGATGGGAGTCCTTCCCTTTCATGGGTCTCATCTGATTGAATCTGATGAAACAACGATTACTTTCAAGCAGCCGTGAGATAGTCATTATCCGTAATGATCAGTGGAGGAGCTATTATCTGGAATCTAATCTGAGTTAGTTTCCGGAAGTTCACCACGCAACGCGCTCTATCCACAGGTATATCTGAACATCGAGTGTCTTCGAAACCATCGGCTTTTAAACACCTCGCTCCAACAGGTAGGCAAACTTTACCCTTGTGCCATGCAAACGACTGGAGAGGAAAGACAGGAACTACTGTACAGCTATGTAATCAGAAGCATATAATATCCATTTAACAAGATATCAAAGGTGGAAGGAAAGAGGGCCGTTCACTTGATCAAACTGACCAACTTTGTGTAAATACATGGCACAATCTATTTTTACAAGCCTGTAGTGTGGTACTATTCTCTCTCACTTTGTTCTGCACGTGTTGCGCTCACATGCATCACACCGACTAGCATTTATCAAACAACGAGAAGTGATTATGCAACCTCGCGACTTGATCTTCAGGTTCTTTGAAAGTTTGCAGCTACTTAAGTGGCAACAACAGTTACACGCGAATAACTTCGAGTGACAACATCCGTCGGGAAAAAACGCCAATGCCGATGCCCTCCCCAAAAGACATGCGCGCCACGGGGAATACCCATTCTGACAGATCTCGCTGGTGTACCTGGGTTGCTCGAGCTCCACCAAATGGGCCCAAGTGCAGAGCACGGATTGGGAGACCAAACCAATCTACGCATGAAGCGAGGTAGTCGCAGACAAACCTACCAAGGGAGAAATAGCACAGAACAGTTGATAAAGGCGCTGACTGTGATCCTTCTGGCCGCGGCTGAAACTTAAAGTTGGTATCCTGCACCGCATGCTGGGAGAGCGAACTAAAAATGGTACTATAAAGTAAGGTCCTCGAGATACTACTGAAGGTGCATCAGGAACTGGGCCATCCCGGGCAACACAAAATGGACCACGCCTTGTCGAGTCGTTTTTGGTACCCTCAACGGCGGCATGACATCGTAAATCTCTGCAATAAGTGCATCGAGTACATCCGAACCAAACCACCAACGCAGTACAACAGAGCGCCCCTGTAACCTATGCTGACCGGATACCCGAACCAGATAGTAGGCATGGACATTATTGGACCATAGCCGGGTACTGAACGCGGGAAAAGGTACATTCTCGTTCTGGTCGACTGTTTCACCAAGTGGTGCGAAGCAATGCCTATGCCGTCCATAACTGCGGTGGATATCGCCCGCACAATATTCGATCATTGGATCTCACGTTGGGGTGCACTCGTCCAGTTGTACTCAGATCCAGGGTCCAGTTTCGAGGAGGTGGTCGCGGAATTGTGCAAAGTCTGCTGCATCCGAAAGACGAGCACACCGGTTTACAACTCTCAGGGAAATGGGAAAACAGAACGAACAAATCGGGCTCTCGAGAGATTGCTGAAGGTATTTACGAGCGAATGCACCACACAGTGCTGGAATTTAGCCCATGCCTGTTGGCCTACCGAGCTACCACTCATACGTAGATCAGATAGACACCCCACCCAATGTTATCCGGACACAATGTACGGCTGCCATCCTATGTATACTCGGTTTCTAGCACCAGACACTCTTCAACCGAATGCACTTGGAACCCTAAACAATGGCTGCCGCCCCATTTCTTCCACATCAATTATTTCGAAGATTATGGAATCAGTCATTGCTAATCAACTCTGCCGCTACCTGAAGCAGTACAAGAAGCTTAGCAACTGTCAATTTCCGGTTCCAGCGATCTACTGGTCATCTTCTGGCGCTTACTTCATATGCATGGTGAGCGGCACTCGACAACCACGGAGAAACCGATATAGTGCCATTGAATAGATCGAAATCTTTCGATCGTGTCTGACACGCAGGTGCGCTAGCCAAACTACTCAAGTTCAGCTTTCCTCCGGAACTTGTGTCCTGGACAGCAAACTATCTTAAGGACGGCAGCATCTCTGTTCGGATAGATGGAACCATGTGCCTGTGAATGGTGTTCCCCAGGGTTCTGTACTTTTCTGACGTTCATCGATGACCTCCTTTTTTCGACTTCAAATCCTATACGTGCCTTTGCCGATGACGCAATCCATCCTATTTCTCTTCACGCATCTCCAACTAAAGCATTAGCAACGACCGCTCTTCCCTCAGTTTCTCTTCAAATTCTGATCTGAGCTTTATTTCTGCTTGGAGCTGTCGCAACTGTCTCTTCATTGTTAGTAAAGCTTTCCTTATGTTGATTCCTCTTAACGACGAACCTTTCTTTTCTTCATCAGATGTGAACTCGAACATTCTCCATTCCACAGATTCATACAATCTGAGACTTCTCTCATCTTCTTCCCTTTTATGATCATACATTTATCGATTTGCCTTCCGCTTTGAGTGAATAATCGGCTTCCTCTTCCGCACCAGACGTTTCCTCACCGCCATTCACTTTCTTTCGCTTTACAAAGCTCAGATTCGCGCTACACTTGGATGCTACAATTATGTATGCAGTAGTGCGTTATCAACTCGTCTCTTCTTAATCGGGTTCAACGGGAGGCCATTCATCTCATCAAAGACCCGTTCCTCAGATGTAACTTGCAGTCACCAACTCAGCATCGAGCAGTCGGTTCCTTATCTTTATTCTACCGATACTATTTCAGATTTCGCTCTAGTGAACTTGCCGCGTCTGACCCTCTTCCACTTCTTCTTCCTCTTAGGTCCTGCGCATAAGCGTATAGCAGCTCATTTCAAGTCACTATCCCCAGGTGTCGCATTCCTGACTTTTAGTTAACTTTTCTCCGAGAACAGCACAACTGTGGAACACTCCTACTTGCAGTCTTCCCTCCAACCTACTTGTTTTTAAACGCACAATTAACAAGCTGGTACTAGCTTGAGTGTTCCGTTTACCATTCCATATATCGTAAGTATATCCTCTTACTGTATTCACTTCGGTGAAATAAAAATATTCACGATTACAGCATGCTAGCGCACGCTGAAGCAAGCGCTGACAGCTTTCTATCTGCTACGAGAGGTCAGAACACAGGCAGCAAACAACAATGAAAGCAAGTGGAACATACAACTTTGACTTGTCTGCTCTTGGGCATAAAACCCTTGAAAAATGATGTAAAAATGAGTACATTTACAGAACCGATTGATCAGCGGGTAGAAAATGAGGGTGAAAGGAAAGGCACCAAACAACTTTTAAAAGTAGAAAATAAAAAATTGTCGGAAATGGAGTTTTAGGCAAAAACAACACTTTTACCGAACACATGTTTAAATAAAGCCCAAGAAGGAACAGCTTTCAACTAAATTCCGGATCTTCATGATATGCGGTCGTGCAACAAGTGTTCGTACAATCCTCCTCCCTATACCGTCATCTACTAAAATCTTGATAATCCTTGATTGTCTGCGACCCTCGTCCTGGATACAGACCGTAGGTACATTTGTTGCATACGAAATAAATGAAATTTAAAAGATGAATATTTTTATCATTATTGTGAACAGCGTAACCTGGTTTTGGTTCCAAACTGGTATAGCCCACTAATCTCGCTACCGCATCCCTTTCCTTGCTAAACACAAAAACCAGTAAATACACGAAGACCCCACTGCAAGATCACTGTCAAAGAACCCTTGAGAGGGAAACAACTCTGTTTTTTCAACGAAGCTATTTGACCTAGAAAAAAGCGAAGGCACTTTAGAGGTTCCGCT